TCCAATCAAAGGCGTAAAGTCAGCCTGCTGATGAGACACACCTGACAAGATTTACGATTGAGTCACAACAACGTCTGTACTGTGGGTGAACTGTCAAAGCCTTTTCTCTTTCTATTTTAAGATGCTGCACGTAGGACTTCCTCGTTACTACACCACTGGGAGATAAGTAGTGATGACGATCACTGGTGTGTTGAGCGAAAGACGACATGATTGTTAATGTAACAAACAATAAACTTTGATGATTGATGTAACTTCTCTTTTGTTTTCTTTAAGTCTGAAGTTGTTACCCATTTTATCTTGTGATATTTTACTGCAACTTTCTTGTCTCTCTGAAACTCTGATGAATTAATAACTTGCACAAACTTTATTTTGTCGGGGAAAAGCCCCACCATGACGGACACTGGTTTAGCTCAATTGGTAGATCGGGTGGCCCATTGGTGCTACAGTCCTTGTTGCACTGGTGGCAGATTTGACCTAGTGTTGCTTGGGGCACGTCATCCCCAACTCTCTCTCTCCTCACATTTCCTCTCTATCTAAATGGGTAAAAGGAGTCTTGAGGTTGCACTTTTCTAGTCTTCTGACTACTCAAAGCACTTTAACACCGCAGGTCACACCTACACATTCACACACTGATGGTAGAGGCTGCCATGTGAAGAGTCCATCAGAAGTAACTAATCCCATTCATACACATGCATACGCCATCGCCGAAGCAGCGGGAGCAACTTGGGGTTAAGTGTCTCGCCCAAGGACACATCGGACATGTTGCTGCAGGAGCTGGGGATCGAACCCCTTGACTTTCTGGTTGAGAAATGACCGACTCTACCAAACTGAGCCACAGGCGCCCCAGTCTACATCTACAGCTGTCCAATCAAAATTAAAGCAAAAAGCCCAAAAATAATCTTTAAAAAAATGCACAGAGGCTGGGGTCCTCCAAGCAGGTGGCCTGGGTTCAAGTCCGACCTGTGGCTTCTTTCCCACATGTCAGTCCCATCTCTCTCTCTCTCTCTCGATTTCCATCTCTATCCACTGTCTTGTCTCTAAATAAAGGCAGAAAAAGCCTGATAATCAATCTTTAAGAAACAAATGGATCATGACTTCTTTAATTAGGATCTATACTAACCCTTTAAGGCTAAACCAAACATAGATTTGCCTGCAACCTTGAGTAGAACACAGGAGGTTACCTGTTGGCTATGCAGTGGCGTAATGTACTCTTTGTTGTCTAAACCACTGGGGATGAGGAAGGTTTAAGGTTTAAGGCTGTGCATTGATGGGTGTCCTGATGGTGCAGGGGCTAAATCAAACACTTCATACGTCCCTGGTTGGATTACTGTTAAAACCCTTGACACACGACACACCTGTCCCTCTCTCTCATCGTGTCTCTATCTTCATTGTTTAACTGATGAAGAAATGTTGATGGCTCTGTCACAGGTAGCTCTCTATGGTATGGAAAAAAAAACTAAACTGAAATGGTGAATGGTCTTGAGCTTGTAAAGGGCTTTTCTAGTCTTCTGACAACTAAAAGCTCTTTTTTACAACACAGGTCACATTCACTGATGGCAGAGGCTGCTATGTGTCCATCTATTAATGAATCATAACACCCAGAATAAATGTTATTTAAACACAAAGCCACAGACATTTCATCAGGATGTATAACAGTCGATGTGCACGTGTGATGACTCATCTGCACAAAAAAATTAGAATGCATAACCATGCTTTTTGCTGAACACGTAAAGCTGTGCATATGCATTCTTCTCTCTTATAAATCTCACTCACTGTGGTCAAGCCTCATTTGCTCGTCCACATTAGGCCATAAATGGATGCAGACATTAAAAGCTAAAGCTGTTAAAGGCCTGGCAGACTGGAGACCAGATACGACCAGTTTGACCAGTGTGCAAACCTGAAGTACTCTTATGAGTGTATCAACAAATCAAGCAGGAATAAAAGGAATGCTCACAATAAACTGCTCCACATCCCTCTCCATGCCCACGTTAGGCAGATCTGGCATCATGTGGGCGACTACTTTGAAGCCAGCGTCCTTTGAAAGGTGGAAAGACTCGCAAACAGCTCGCACCGTGTGGCCTCTGGAAGATAGAAAAGCATGTTAAAAAAAAAATACAGTTAATAGATCACACACTTTCATACAGGTTGCTTTCACACGTTGTCTGCTTTCTTATCTACATCATCCCTCGATTCCTCCCCTGGGTATACTAACCGATTAGTGTCGCGAGCCACATCTTCATACACACTCTGGACTCCAATCTCCAGCCGCGTGCAGCCGTAGCCCAGCATGTCGCTGAGGTGTCGCTTCAGGCAGTAGTCCGGCCGTGTCTCAATAGTTATTCCTACACACTTGGTGTTGCTGCGCTCAGAGTACCTGCAGGGGGGAAGCCGTCTCAGTCATTTCAGCTCATAACATAATCTCTTCTCATATCATTCCTTCTTCATATAATAAGGTTTCTCAGATGACATTTGTGTGTTTTTTTTGTTTTGTTACTGACTATGTTGGAGCACTCTTTGTGCTGGGCTCATTTAGCAACATCAATTGACATGCTGTGAGTTTGCTCGGCTCATTATCCAAACAGTTAACACCAACCTCACATTAGGACACGACGAACGCAATCAAGAAAATGGATGATATCGAGGGAAAATGTTTGTGATGCGAAAAATGTTCAATGAGAAATTAACGAGTGTTGACTTTGTGTCAAAGCAAGTTAAATACCTACATGATTACACTCAAATGATTATACTTGAACATATTTATTTTCCACACAACTGGAAAAGGGTTGTAAAATACTTCACAGTTAAAGCTTTCTCTAGTGCTGTAGTCAAGACAACCGAGACCAGGACATACCCGAGACCAGAGAGCTGAGACCCACAGTGCTCTGTTCATCTCTCTTTTTTTTCTTTAAAGGGTATTTTTGAGCTTTTAATGTCTTTATTTAAAGACAGGAGAGTGGACTGAGTCTGAAATGGAGAAGAGAGAGAGTGGGGAAATGACATGTGTAAAAGCATCAACAGGTCGGAGTTGAACCTGGCGCCCCCTGTGGACAAAGTAATGTAGTGTTAAATCCACTTTATAGCTCAGGAAATCTGGATTTGGTGATCCTTAAAGGTCTTTTCTGTACCTGGATCAGGGTGATTCAATCTTGTTTTTCTTTGAACAAAGAGGATAAAAGTGAGCTGGATTACGTGATCCTTGGAAGAAAAAAAAAGTGGATTACCAAATCCAGATTTTTCCAGATTAAACCTTTTGAACAACCGGGCCTAGGACTTAAATGTCTAAGGCTAAGCAGAAGTTCTTTTCCTACATTTTCTGATCACCAAACCCTGCACACCGGGCATCCATCACTATCTACACGAAACAAGTTCTACCTGATTGTCCGAACAGCAGCAGGCGTGCTAACTACAGCTGTTTACAGGGCACTGAAAGACAGTGACTAGAGGTGTCACAGTGCGACCCCTCATCATTCTTTAAACTAAATGTCAACACAATCTGTATGGATCTGAATGTCTGTATTTCTGACGTTGTCTTTTCTGTCGGTTGAGTCTTGATGCGAGCTGCAGATCAAATTCCCTTCAGAATAATAATAAAGTAAAAGTTGAATATTCATGGACCTTTAATCCTGAATCAGGCTTCACTGCTCCTTCTATACTCATTTGAGTCCCTGATTGAAACCCCCCCCCCCCACCCCCAAAAAAAAACAACGCACGCAAGCTTACAGGCACATTTCATCACTGCAGCGGCTCCAATGTCCATAAGCCCCCCCCCATGCCCGCTTCTATTCCTTCTGATTCTGCAATAAATGTCCATCTTTTACACTCTGCTGGCTGATTTACACCAATTACAGAAGTGTATGCTCCAGAGAGGATGATCAGATTGTATGAGATGAATCAATAAAAAGTCTATTATCTCAGGTGATTATCTGCAGCTATCTCACCGCTGTGATCCGATGAGGAGCAGGGGGAGCGTGGGGAGACACAGATACACAAGCATCATGCATGACACTGTCTCTGACACACACACGCACTCACAGACACGCACAGACACATGCGCACACATGCGCACAGATGCGCACACACACGCACACGCACACGCACACAGGCACACAAGCAAATCCTCGTTTGCAGCCACAGTTGAATCAAAGTGTCTTGACCGAGACTGCTGATAACAGAGCACCGCATTTAAGAAAACTCCCACATACTGGCAGAGTCACAGGTACAAACAAAAAGCCAAATGGGAAGAGCCTCATGCTCACACAAACTCTGTTCTTATCAGACTTTAGGAAATTAAACAGCCCCTGCTGACAATCAAACGGCCTTAGTCCTTGTGAGATAGACATATTTTTGGCCTCCGGGACTCTAAACTTTGACCCTCCATGAACCTAATCTGAAGTTTTCTAAATACATGACGCTCACTCGTACCGAGAACAAACATGGCCGATACCATTCAAAGCTGGCACGACTTAGTAAGTGAGAAGTCGACAGGAGCAATTGATGGAGAGTTGCCTCACTTATTTTCCCTCCTGATCTCTGGATGGGTTCATTTAGCAGCTTCATTTGTGGAGAGGATCAACACATCTCAGCATCCTTCAAGATGTGCCGTGTGTTGTCGTGGTGAGGTAAAATGAAAAGTAGGATGGGCTCCAGTGAATGTGGAGAAATCATGGTGGAAAAAGTCATAAATAGGGAACAATAATTCCCATGATGCACCGGTGCACTCAGTAGTGAGCAGATTTTTCACAGGGATAAAAAACACACAAAAAGTGTTAAAAAAGATAGGAGAACTCATGACCTTGAGGCTGCAGTAAAAAAGTGTAAGAAAAATTATAAAACGTAATCATAAAGTTGAAATCCTGAGGGTTTTAAATGTGACGGTTAGGTTTTTTTCCTCTTTTGTCTTAGGTTCAGGTGACTTTACATTTGTACTTGTAGGTAGATTTGTTGGCGGCCAGAAAGATCAACATCAATCATGACACACAGATTACAAAACAGATGTAGAAATGAACGACACGAGAGAGAAAGAGAGCTATTAACCCAACTAGAACATGATTAAAAAAAAACTAAAACCTTAGTACTCAAGGTTCCACCAATCACGCCATGAGGCTCCAACCAATAAGATCAATTCAAAACAAAATTAAATAATCTCTTCAGGATGGGTACAAATAAGTTTTGGCCATAAATAAATACATTACAGTTTGTGAAAATATAGCTACAGCTTGTAGCTATATAAGCTATATCCATATCCGAATGCTACAGCATTCAGTGATAGCAGCAGGAACAAAACTGTTTTTGTCTTACCTGAAATTCTTTATCTTCCTGTTGTTAATGTTGTTTAACAAAAAAGAAGCTAAATAATTTTCCCTTTGGACTCTGGGAATTGTAGTTTGATGCATTTAAAAAAAAAAAAAAAGATGTATATGTACACTTTAAGATCAATTGACTAAAGACCGATGGATTCACAGATAATGAAGATAATTGTTAACTGCAGAGTTAAACCTGGCCTCAAACTTCACCTTATCTTTGGATTGTCTTCCTTAAAGGAGAATGTTTGAGAGTTAATGGGGATGATGTCTTTTACTGTCCGTGATGTGGAACAATGTCCAGCAGCAAAAAGAAAGCTGATTAATGTATGTACAGGATTCTCTTAAAACGGTACAAGAGCTCCCTCTGGTGGAGTTTACTGATAAATATTTACAGATGTGGTTACTGGCTGTTTCATTGTGCATCACAATTGAGATGAATGGAAAACAAACAGTAATTGAAGGGAGGATTTGAATTCTTTAGTATTAAAATGATCCGTTTATTTAGTTGTAAATTAAAATGTAACTAAAGCTGTAGTGAGGTCAGAGAGATGTTAAAATACTCTCTGAAAGGCAGCGGAGGAGTGTTCACTAAGTAAAATACAGAAACCTACAGTTTGAACTGAACTACAGCAGAAGACTTACAGGTACAAATCAACACTTTCAATAATCCAGTTTACACCCTGAATAATCGGTTCATCCCAACCTCCCCTCTCTGAGCTGTATAACCGCTCTGTGATCAGGAGAGCCACCCAGGACCCCTCTCACCCCCTCCTCCACTCCTTCCAGTTACCGCCATCAGGCAGACGCTACAAAGTCCCTCTGCCCGGAAAAACATCTACAAAAAATCCTTCATTTCCTCTGCAGTAACCACCCTGAACAAAGTCAAAGAAACATTTTTTAACAGTCCTATTTTAATCTTTTAGTCTGTACTTTGTGTTGTGTTTTTGAATTTGATTTTTACTTTGTAATGATTGAGCCTTGTCAAAGGACAATTTCTGTCACTTTTAGGACAGACAATAAAGTTTATAGATCTATCTATCTATCTGTTCTTGTACTTTAATTGCACATTTTCACACTATTATGTTATAATATATGTATATCTTGGTAAAAATGTCAATTTTGTTATGATCTCTTGACTGATTTACTGCGATGTCTCATTTATGATGTTGATGTTGTCCTTGAATGTGTTGTTTTCTGAGTGTTCCTGTTGAAAAACTAATTTCGCATTGGGGACAATAAATGATCTGAATCTCAGTCTAAATTCTGTCATAAGAGAATTAATCAGACCCCCCCCCTTCCCCCCTTGGCCACCTGCTCAAGCTACACTTTGCTTACATCCACCATCATCTGACTCACACCATCCCTCATCTATTTCTATCTGCTCCTTTGCTCCTCCTCTTCTTTTTGTTTTTTCCTCTTACACCTTAAATATTTATTTATGTTTACCTGAATTGAAGGCTAACAACGCTATTCCTCACTCTCGCGTCTCAACAGCACAGTTTCTTCTAACCCGTTTCCACCTTCTATGTCTTCACATGTTTGGTTAAATATTGTTACCATGTTAAAGACACAACTGTTACTGTACACTGAGGAGGACGGGGACAGACGTGTACCTGACGGCCTCTGCCACATTGTTGGAGGTGTGTCCGGACAGCGCGTCATGTAGGTTCCTGATGAAGTAGTCTCTGTACTCCTCAGGCAGCGCCATGAAGGTCCCGCCCATCACGATGAACTCCACCTTGTCCACGCTATGACCCAGCTGCTTCAGCTGCACGTCATGAAGAAAAAACAGTTTGACATTGTAAAAGTAATATAACAGTGGAATACAATTATCTGTGAGTGGGAGTGAAAGGCTCTAAACTTCTCCACACTACAAGGTTTTAGGATGTTTTAGATGTTTTTTTAACTAATTGGAATGACTTATTAAGTATCAATTTAACATGGATCAGCAAAGACGTTAACTGTAAGTGTTGAATCAATGAATGGCTTTCCTCTGTTCAATTTAAACTGATGTGGAAATAAATGTAATTCATAAAACACTGTCAGATCATGGCAGGCGGGTAACCATGACACTTATCACTGCAAACTGAACGCATTTTCATTGGTTATAATCGACAAGTCTATACAACCAAGACAATCACGCCACATATGTGAAAATGTTTAGTGACCTAAACACCTCATTTAGATGAAGACAAACACACAGCAGCATACCAAAAGCAGCGCAGATGTATCAAGAAACTAATTGTAATAATGTACACACTGACCTGCTCCGCTCGATGTCTGGTCTGAAGGTACGGGTCATAGCGTGCTCGGATCGCTCTCATGGATGTCGGCTGTCACAGAAAGCGGAGGGGAGAACAACTTTTCAAAACCCAAAAAGCACAAAAAGCCAAAAGGAAGACCACAATGAATATGGGGTGTAACATTCACAGGGGGTCACGGTACGGTACCAGTACCTCGGTTTTTGTGGGGGTTCAACAGGAAGAAAGCAACAAAAAGTTTCTCTAATTTATTCTGTAACGACATGGAAGTTACAGTTTGTTCCAACTAGTGTTGTTCAGATCTACCTTAGATAGAAGGTACAGCCACCCCCCCCCCCACCGTAAAAAAAAGCAAAATAAAGAGTAACATAAAAATAAATAGGTCTAAGCGGGGATAAAATGTATCTCCACTTAGACGTGTTCTGACAGTAACCGTTTCGGGACAAATAGAAAAACGGTTACAGGCTGACAATAAAAACATTTGCTTGAATTTGATCTGACATGAGGAAACTACACGAGAGAGAGATTTACATAGATAAAGATGAATAGAGAGAGATATGGATTATAAAGATATAGATTCAGATACAGATGTTGACATAGATATTTTTTCTTAAACTGTTTTTTTTTTTTTACAGAATGCTCTCTGTGTTTACAAACTGTGGAGGAAAAACATAACCTCACCTCATAGCCGGTGTAAGACTGTGTGGAGTACTCAAAGTCTGAGTCTGGTCCACCAGGACAATAGCTGCAACAATACAAGATGATGACAAAGTTACATTGAATATAAAAAACATCAAACACATGTAAGCATGTGAGAAGTGTTTGTTGTATACACGTGCTGGATAGACTTCTTTGACCACATGCAGACTTAAACACTACAAGTCTATCTTAGGTCTACTTCCTTCCTTCTGACCTCCATCAGTCAGAGGAGTACAGGGTCTTATAACCTTTGACAACTGGAGGAAAAAGGCGTTCAAGTTTTCTGCTCCTTTTACTTGGAACGAGTTACAAAAAGAGCAGAGACTTCACGAGCTGCTCTCATTGGATGCTTTTAAACGGATGCTAAATGACACATTTTAATGTAGATGTTCATCCTGATGTGTTTGTGGATGATCTTGATAAATATTTGTTGTTTAAATGTGTTATTTGTGTCTTTTAATGTCTAATATTGTATTTTTTTTTGTGTTTCTATGTGTGGCTGCTCATTTGTGTGAAACTCTGAAAACTGTGATGCAGCATGTCTACTCCTGGAAAAGAGATTTTTAATCTCAACAAGTTTTGTTTCCTGGTTAAATAAAGATTAAATAAAAAAACAAAACAAGGGAAGTTTGTCAAGCGGAGGGGCCAGGGTTTATCTTCCTCTCCTGCAGTGCATACATTGTAATTCTTAAATAACTCTCGTCTCTAACACAACTTAAGTTAACTTTAAAAAAAAAAAAGGAACTTACACGCAGATGTTGCCGGTGAAGCTGATGTGAGGACATCGATGGGGTTTGCACATCACAGCCACAACTGCAATCTGTGGAAAGTCAGATTCTGTCAATATTTAAATAGTTTTATTCCGTGAAAATAAGATCACACAGAACATCTTCTTGACCTTCACACTTTCCTGAATATAACATGTCCAAAAAGCTCGTTGTCACACTGCTGAGTGAGAAACAGGACCTTCAGGTCTACGTACCCCACTGGCAGTGCGGATGGGTTTGGCCTTCAGCTTGGGCACCAGAGCACGGCGATACTGTGGAGGAACAGCAGCAATAATGTCCACCAATCGTGGCTGGGCTTCAAGTCCGTATTTAGCTGAAGTCTTAGTCTTCACTCTTTAGAAAACAGAAACAAAATCAAAGGTAAAAAATGTGTACACTGTAGTAGGATAGCATTGTTTGTAATTTTAAGAATTGAGATACGTAGCCAAAATGATCCAACAGTTCATGTGTTTGGGTTGTACTACTGTTGTGTAGATCAGTGTCTGGTGTAGAATAGAATAAATGTTTATGGTCATTCAGGCCGTCAGTAACACAAACAGAGCAGCTACATTTACACATTAATAACAGTTCATATGATGGTTCAGAGCTCTTCAGTCATGTTGTAAAATATTGACAAACGGCCTGAAAAACAATTCCAAAAAGGAAATATTCAAGAATCTGTTATTAACAGAGAAATGGATCACCCAGAAAAAACGTGTGTCGAAACCCAGGGTAGGAAAAAAACCCTGAATATATTTTAAATATCAAACACGACCTGTTCACAGCATCAGTTTGTATCCACACAAGTGGATGTAATGAAATGTTTGTTTGTTATTTAGATCACATGTTTGTCTCTGTTGGTGAAGACTTACTTGTTGAGGTTGATGTCTTTGCCCTCTTCATGTGCTTCAACCAGCTGTTTGATGACGTCAGCTATGGTCATCATCATCAGCTCAGCCCGGCTGAGATCACCTGAAAGGTTCAAATTGAATGATTCAACTGGTTAAAAAACACACTTTGAGTTCTGGTGTTAACATGTTACAACCTTTACTGATGCTGGATGAACTCAAACTAACAAACATAACATGTAACAACAAACATGATCGTCTGACATAATGAAATAAACAATAACATGTTTCCCAGAGGAACGTTCTCAGCTTGAGAACAGAAAGTGGAGAAGGGCTTGGCCTTTACAGAAAGTGGATTTCAAAGAAAGCTAAAAAGGTATATTTCTAAATGTCTGCATAAAATATACCCGCCCGGTTAATTGCCTTGTGGCCACGTTTACAGATATTGACATATCTTATACCTTTTGTAAAAAAATATATGGAAAACATTTTTTTTTTTTTTTTTAATGTGAATTTTCCAAAAGGTTCTAGAAAGACAAAGTCTCATTTGATTCAGGCTGCTAACCTAAATCTCTCTTTTTTAATTAATAACAAAAAATGTAAGAAGTTTATGAATTACTATGAAACCTTTTTAAATAACGATTTCCCTCCATATCTTTGTGGATTGATTGATTTTATTTAGTCATGTATACGTTCCTTTATATCATTTTAATCCCATTTCATTTGATTTACATCTGTTTACCTTAGTAGATAGAGAGATAGATATAGAGATATAGAGATAGATAGATAGATATAGAGATAGATAGATATAGAGATAGATAGATAGATATAGAGATATAGCGATAGATTGATATAGAGATAGATAGATAGATAGATAGATAGATAGATAGATAGATAGATAGATATAGAGATATAGAGATAGATTGATATAGAGATAGATAGATAGATATAGAGACAGATAGATATAGAGACAGATAGATATAGAGACAGACAGATATAGAGACAGATAGATATAGAGATAGATATAGAGACAGATAGATATAGAGACAGATAGATAGATAGATAGATAGATAGATATAGAGATATAGAGATATAGAGATATAGAGATAGATAGATAGATATAGAGACAGATAGATATAGAGACAGATAGATAGAAGCAGGTTATCTAAGCAAATTAAAGCAACAGAAGAATGAAAACAGTAAATAAAGTAAATACATATTGTACATTCATTCGTACGTTGTTGTTCTTTGATTTAGTAAAAATCACCTGAAAATGAGCAACTCTTTGTGTAGTGTTTTTTCTTGTAGTATTGACTAAAGGGAGCTGATAAAGTTCAGAGTATCTTCATCTTGATGATCTTGTGCAGCAGAGGAGTTTAACAAATCGTAACTAACTAGTTGAATTAAATCTTTTAAAGTCTTTCAGTCAGCGGTTTCGTTGTATAATCTTTTATTTATATAGTGATAAAACCACAGACTGTAAATAAGAAGGATAAAACAGATATCCACCGTGTCATACTGTTGTTGTTATGACATTATGATGGTGAGGTACATTAGTTAGCATAGCAACATGCTACAGACACTATAAACAAATATTTTAAACTGTTGTCAAACACTTACTCTTTTTCTTCGGTTTCCCCATTTCTTCCTTTAGGGACTGCGTTCAGTGTTTGAGGTGTCGATAATGTTTAAAGAGGAAAAACGTAAGTCTTTAAACCAGAGAGGGCTGTCACAAACACAAAACAACTCCACGTTGCATCGAAACACGGCTTGACTCGTACGTCAACCTCAACTGTCGTAAAGTACCGGAAACGCCCAGACTGAACATCAATGAATCAAACTTTGTTTTAGGCTTTATTTGATCAACCTTTGATTCTTAAAAGATGTACATCTTAATCATTCAAATGCAAGTACATATATGTTCAATATTTTATAAACATCACAAATCTAATGCAGTACACTTTTAAAAGTATGAACAAGGATTGGAAATTGGTCTAATATTGTACAAATAATATCTATTTTACATACACAAACATGAAAGAAAACACAGAAATAGGAGGAGCCGGCTAATTGGGATCATAATAATAATAATGTTTAAATATTGTGATAGTTTTTGTCAATTTCTTATGTTTAAGGTTTAGATTTTCAGTAGTGGATAAAAAATGTTTTCATATGATTTGCTATAAAATGAGGGTAATTTGTTGAGCCATTTCATTTCAACTATTAAAGTAATACTTAGCCTAAAATTAGAATTAAATGTATTTGTTGTGAATTGGACATAAGAATCAATAATTTGTCTATTTTTTAAAGTTTTATGTTTTATCCAAATTTTTCAAAGATTATATTTTCTAAATCAAATAAAAACGCAGTCTACAAAATGATGTTCAATAGTTTCTCCCTCACAATAGCAAAAGGTGCATCTTTAAATTACATTAGTGACATTTAGATATGTTCTTTTTTAAAGGGTAGTATTTATGTACAATTTTAGATTCAATTATTTTATTTTATTTTGAATATAAGGCAGGAGAAATACACCATTACATGTTTTATATTTATTTAAGTAGGGTCATCAATGAATTAAACCGACGAAAACTCATTTTTAAATCTCCTACATTGACACGGATTAAAACATATTGAATTAGTTTCATTACAGCCCACAGGGATATTTTGGTTAATGTTTAAACACACATTTTTTAACAAATCGTCTTAAAGTTTAAGCACGGACTTGGATTGGCTTGCTTGCAATGCATGTGTGTCCACACGGTGGCGCTTTATTCCTAACAACACAGTGTGTGTGTGTGCGTGTGCGTGCGTGCGTGTGTGTGTAGCTGAGCGCACAGGGACTTGAGCTCTCCCTAAACCTCACAGTAAATCCCTTTAGCTGTGAGTTTACATGGCTTGACTGATCTCTGCGGGACGATCCAGGAAATGCAACAGGTGGAGGAGCAGATAATGAACTCTGTGCTGCCGTGAGTTACTCTCTTTTTTTTTCAAACTCATATAGAAACCAAGTTGTTGCATATAACGTGACGTGACCTGTTACCTGTACCAGCAGTCATTGTGAAAATATTTGACCCCTAATGTGTGTTTGCTGTTCCCCCAGGTCTTGTTAGCGTCCCAGGCTAGCTGCTGTGTAGCCTACTTGAAGGTGCCTGTGGACGTCGGGACAAACTGCGCACTGTTGTAAAAAGGTTTGTTCCCTGTTTTAGATAAAATATGGACTACTGTACTCCTGTAGGCATGTGTTGTCTTGAAACTGTTTAAGAGTTTGTATATGAACGCTGCAGAGAGGAGCAGGAGCTAACTGTGTGTACACAGACTTCACGCAATGAAAACGCGTCGGGAAAATGAATGTGTTTCTATGTAAGGTGTAATTCTGAGCAACTGCAATATCTTATGTCAACTTGTGTATGTGGAGTTATGCTACTCATGCACATTTATTATTCCCCTCCAGGTCAGGTGGAAATAGCACCATGGATGACAACAGCTTAAACGTGAAAGTCGCTGTCCGTGTGCGACCAATGAACAGAAGAGGTGAGTACAAAGTCTCACTAGCCTTGTGACAGGTTGACCAACACACACATCAGAAGTCTGCTCTGAGAGATTTTTTAAACACTGCCCAGCACTAAAGTGAATTCTTGACACTGAGTCGTTTTATTTTTTTGTGTACCAAGGATTAGTTTAGAGGAAGAAAAATGGAGGCTGTAATCCTGTTTTTTTAAGGAGCATGTTTCCCCTTTTAAGACTCTACAAAAATGTACTTTTTTTCCTCTTTTGAAAGAGTTTTGGCAGAACTGCAGCAGGGGTGGAAAAAGAAAACACTTGGAAGGGACAGTGACTTCACTTCCTGACAAAAAAAAAAACAGGAATATAATGCAGTGTTGTGCTTAAAGCTCTTAACTTAACTATGAAACTAATTAGAGCAGCTGAGCACGGTTTAAGTTGCTAAAAAACAAAAACCTTCCTTGAGCTCACCTTTCTAACCATGTATTCAGGAAGGTTGCATACAGAAAACATATCATTTAAACTTGTGTAAGTTGGACATTTCCCTAAACATACATGTATGAGCCGGTTCCTGGACATGTTGAAAGCCTTCTCCTGTAGCTGGGAGTGAGGAACAGAAGCTGTGACCCTGCTTTTCCTTACTGCATGCTCAGGGAGCAGTTAACTGGTCGTAATGTTAGTACAGGCGAGTCCTGCATGAATCACCATAAATAAACCTATTTCCTGCCTCTCTATGACGGGCTGTTTCTGCTATGATCACGAGGAACTGGCACACACACAGCGTATGCCACCTGTTGTTCTGTAATGACTGTGTCAGTCTCTAGAAATGAAAGTTATTATGAGACGTGCATAGATGTTTTATAAACAGTTTAGATGTTACTTTACCAGCAAGCACATTTGCAAAAGTGATTTTGTTCACACATTTTTTTTTACATGTGTTTTTTAATATTTGTTTTTGTACTCATGTCGTCACAGAGATAATTATTGATATTTGTTTCAACCTAGAAAAAGACTTGAAGACGAAATGTGTGGTGGAGATGGAGGGGAATCAGACAGTTCTGCATCCAGCTGTCGCTAATATGAACAAAGGAGACCCCAGGTACGCTGCAAAGAAGTTTTCTATCATCGCATCATTAGCACTTTAATTCAAAACCATTCAAGGTTTTGAAAACAGTTTTGTGTGTTATTCTCTGTCAGAGGTTGCTCGTCTTTCTCTGATCTTGGTCTGTCCACATGGAGCTCGCTGTGGGTAGCCACATGTCTGGCTTTGTGTCCTGTGATTGAAACAGTTTATGCTTTTTATGGTAAAGGTTTGAAGTTCAGTGAATGAAACAAGTCAGACTGGAGTGGAGCTATAACTCTGAAGACTGTAGACTTGACTTTACAATATAGAGAAAACCTTCCACTTCTGGTGTGGTGGTCATAATGACTTGTACAGTAAGCTACTCGTGTAAGACCCCAAACATACACTTTCAGCTAAATGTTTTAGTCTTGACTGAAGAATTTAATTGGTAATTTTTTATCTTGATTGGGGACTTCTTGGCCTTGTTGGTCTTGTCTGGGAGTCTTCAATCGTGGTGGGACTTGGTGATGATGACTGTTTACTCTGGACTTGTTGGTTTGGACTGGATACTTGACTGAGGACTTTTTGATGGACTTGGTTCTGGACTTGTCGGTCTTGACTTGGGATTTGACTCGAGCGTGCTTTGTACTTAATGGTGACAATATTTGTTATTACAGCTGAACAGAAGCTTGTATTGACCTCAATAACAACAGTGCACTGAAACACCATTTTTATAGAGAAACTAACAATTATAGAAATAAACATACACTGAATAATACACAGTAATATTGGCACATACCAGCGATGGAATTAGCTGATGCCGATATAGTCAGGTGATATAATATCGGCCGGCTGATTAATCAGTCAGGCTCTGACACTAACCAGCCCGTCAAGTTAACAACCAGCTCCCTGGAAGAAGCTCAGATCTTAATGTCACCCCACCCATCCTCCTTGTGTTTCTCCTTTCCATTTTCCCCTCCTCCCCCAGTGTCTTTCCTGCATCATTACTCTCTGTACAAAGGGTGTGTCTGTTGCCAGCTCAGCCCTGCTCAGGTAGACAAGCCCTGGGCGAAAGGAAAAGCAGCAAAGGGGAGGGCAATGTCAAGACTCAGAACGTAAACAACCTTTGTCAACATGCAGTTTGTTTCTGTTATACATTATGATGATTGAGAATACGTCCAAAATGACAGACACGGCTTCAAAAGGTGCATGTGTTGTGTTGAATGAGAATCAGCCTGAAGGGCTTGTGTTTCTGTTTCTTGATATTTTTGTCGTTAAAAAGCAGGACACTGCTCTTTTACCTCTGCAGTCAGCCAGATCCAGAGAAGGGCAGGTAGATGTTCCCTGAATGTTTTTACCTCTTCTCTGGTTACTTTGCTCAGTTAATTAGCCTCAGGGTAATCTCCCCCTCCAGGAAGGAAGTTATGAGTCTCTGTCTTTGTAAACGGGGAGTCTCATATTTGATAGCTCTCACATGCATTTTTGTGTGTATGTATCTGAGTGTGTCTTTCTGCCCTAACACGCTTCAGCTGTGGTATGGTTCCCCTGTGGGGATCAATGTGAACAGGTTTTACAGGATCACTCCGCCACAGACAAACACTTCCATGATGCAAAAACAGCACTGAGGTCATAGAGAATTTCAAGTTGGAGTCGTAAACTCTTTACTGAAAAAAACAACTTTTTGTATAAGGCCTTCTTGATTAGTTTCCCAGTGGAATGTGTCCCATTATGAGCATAATCAGTGTATTAGAAAGGCTTTATTTGTTGGGCGAGTCTCTGACCAGCCAATTTCACAAGGTTTGTGCTTAGTCAGCCCTCTGATTTGCTGCCTGAGTCTCAGGGGATGTTAATGTGTTGCGCCACCCTTGGTAGCTGCAACCAGGACTACAGCAGGGAGGTGTTTTTTTTTCCGGACCCCTTTAAGATAGGGATTAATAAAGTCTTGGGCTGGCTTGTGCAGCTCTGAAGCCCAACATGACTCAGCAGGCTTGTAGAGCTACATTAGTCCCGTTTTAACTGCACAGACCTTGAATTGTCTCCAGAATATTTATCAGTCCCTGCACAAAAAAGGCTTCGAAAATGAAAGTTCAGTCCTGCGCCTTTTCTTATCCGAGCTCTGCTTTGATAAGAAACCCCAGTTTGAAGAGTATTTTATAACTGTTTATGACATCACACTCGTTTGATGTATGTCATATATTCTGACTTTCAGAACCTTTCAAATGCTGAACCGTAAGTAATGGAACGTCCAGCCAGAAAGACTTTGTACTATCAAATCTGAAAGCGTCTACCTGGGTAGTTGGATGTTGGTCATAGACACACTGACCCACCGCCCTCCTCCCTCCCCTTTAGTGACTCCTTAGAGCTGCACCTCTCTGCCAGATATCCCAGGAATGTCCCCACCAGCCCAGGAGAGAACAGGACTTAATGTTGCTCTTTCATGAACTGGCCAAGTCTCGCATAGGGAGGCCTTGTTTCATTAAAGTCCTCCCCCCCGTGTGGCCGAATAGATATTTCTGCTTGAGTGAAGACTGTGTTTTGACTTACTCGTGGAACCAGTCTTCAAAGGGGGGGCTTCCCTAAAAACTGGATTTGCAAGTTTAAGAATGATTATGTAGCGTTTTGTTTTTACATCTCGACCAAAACTCAAATAGATTAGCAAAACAGATTAAAGCTCCTATAAGGGGGTTTTGAGTTGGTTTTGAAACTGACTCAAATGAATACTAATGCCCTAATATGACCTGCAAACGCAAACAGACCATCAGCAGGAAGATTGATTCCGTATCGTTCAAGGCTTGTAAACGCTGCCACAGGGTAGGTGTCAGAAGAGGCGATTAAACAGCCTATATTTAAATGATCCACTGCAAAGATTCATGGTGAGCGATATGTTTGACTAGAAGAGGACTTGCTGAATAATTTTTGTTAACGACTTAACAAAACAAACTTTTTTTCCCCGCAGAAGTGCCGTAACTAAGCTCAGTCGTCATTACATCTTTGTAGATTCATGTTGATTCAGCGACGGCGTAACATTCTTGTCTCAGTCTGTAAATTGACATTGTGTTTCAGGCGTTGCGGACGCACAGCACAGTGGGAGCTCCACATCAAATACACAGTCAGACATGCACACACACACAGCGCTGTTCTCCCCCGCTGGCTCAGCTGATCCCTTCTCTCCTCTGAAATGCCTCCATTACTACCTCTGAAGACATTGCAGAGGGGGGATCACTTCATCCCCCTATTACTCCTCTGTGACATTCAGATTGAGGTCGAAACATCATGGGGTGTAAATGTAGCCGCTTTAAAAAGCAGTCTGAGGTGGGGCTAGAGTTAATATATCCTCCTTTTTAAAGGCTGTGGGAGTATGTGTTTCAAAACTCAAAAACTTACTCACCATGAAACATTGATGCACAATGAATATAAAGCTTGTGTGTATACTCTGTGCATCATACAGCTAGCATGTGTATAATGTTTCAGCTATAATGTATCTTACAGCTGAGCTAGCAGCTAACATTTATCTGCTGTAGAGCTTTATAGTGCTGACCATGTCACCCACTATTTTAGTATTTTTACAATACTATTTCTGTAACTGGTTTATTCTGATGTTTTTTAAAGTTTTTTTTTTTTTTGTATTTAATAGTTTTTGCCTTATTGTATATGACAGCTGAAGACAGACAGGAGAGTGTCCGATGACACCCAGCAAAGGGCTGAGGCCGCTGCTACGAGGACTATACCCTCTGTACATGGTGGGCGCGTCATAACCGCTAGCTTCCGGCACCTCTATTTTGAGGTTATTAATGTTCTCAAAAAGTGGGCCTGCTGCAGCCACAAGTGAAGCCAATGAGAGTGGTGATGAGACCAAAACAGTTTTGTTCTTGAAAAACCCAAATTTTGAGCTTTAAACATTAAAACAGCCTCTAGAGCTGAGAGACACTGCAGAATGAGAAACACTTGAAGGAACTGTTTCAAAAAAATAGTTACTTGATCCATTTTAGTTTTAAAGGTGACATATTATGAAAAATCCACTTTTTCAGTGTTTTTGATCATATATTTGGGTTAGCTGAGTGTCTACCGACCACAA